AAAAAAATTGATGTCATATATGAAGCTTGAAGGAGGGGCAAACTATTTTAAGTCAAGTCATGTGGCTACTCGAGTTTCCAATCAAAGTTTTCAGAATTTATAACATTATTCATTCATATATATTTTCTTTTAAAAATTCAAAACAATACCACTGTCAAAACACTTTTAATATAAATTATCTATTTCAAAAATTTAAAATTTGATACTTTCTAAGTAGTTATATAACAAAATCTCTTACAACCATTCAAGTAGATCAAACAATTATTATTATATCATGTGAAACATTCATTGATTGCAATTAACAACTCAATGAATCCAAATTCTTATTTAGGCTCAAATACCTATTTTCACTATACTCAATTCAGTCATTTTATAAGTCACTGCTAAATTTTAATTAACTCACCAAAACCAAAATGAGTTAATTAAAATAATAAAATTGTCCTAAAAATAATTCACTTTTCCATTTTGCTTCTAAATTTAAAAAAAGAGTGATTTGATATGTGAGAATAGTTTTATTAAAAATTAAAAAATTGCACATATTTTAAGAATTTGTTGGAAGATATTTTTGAAATTATGTATTAAATATTATCAAAAATAAGAATATAAACTTTTTAAAATATCATTCATTTAATAACATTAAATTTACATTTAATTAATATTAAATAGAGAGAGAAAAAGAGTAATATTAAAATAAATCTATTTAATAAAAATTTAATTTTTTTAAATATCTTATATTTTAAGATAATAAATCTCTTTTAAAAATATTTTATAATTTGGAAGGGAGGAGTATATCCGTACAACATTTAATAGCCTGCCATGCATGTGAGGTGAGCCCATCCACTGCTTCTTCTTCAAGTTCAATAGTCCAAAGATGTTTCCCTCAGCCATTTTTGAGGACATTTGCTCCATTTTATCGTCCATTAATTTTATTTTCCTTTCACCTTGTGACCCAGACTTAATTAAGAAGGATATGTGGTCCTAGTTCACACATCTTTCTTTTAACCTTCATGTAAATTATTTTCTTTTATAATAATATAATCACTATCTTTTCCTTCAAAAAATTAAAAAAAAAGAGAGAGAGCATGTGAGCCCACGTTGTGCTTTTCATAACAATTTGATGATAGAAAAAGCATTCTAAATACCAATGTCATAGCATTTTCTATTTCAATTAACGAGGTATCTTGAACAAATCTAATTGATAAGTTATGTTATTTATGAATATATTTATAGAAGAATTTTTTATATTATATAATAAACAAACATGTGGACCCGAAAAACAAAAATGAAATCTTTTATATGAAATGAGAGTACCAAATACCTTCATGCGTTTCAATTGTATATCCATTGGTTGGCCAAAAAACTTATTATATCCATTTGAATTTTGATGTAATCATAATTGCTTAATTATTTTGTAATTATATGATAAATCATCAAATGTTGTTTTACATTTTAAAAAAGTTTTAAGATAAATTATACTTATATCTGTTGATAAGAAAATTATATATCTATGAATAACCATGTCCAATATGGCTTCTAAGAATAAGATAATCACATATTTAGGATTCTTGTATGGATTATAACATAATTTTCTTGATCTCTCTTTTTGTGATTGTATGGATTATTTTACTCTTCTCTTAGTACTTTTAAAGTGTTTGGCTATCATATAGATGATTTGTTAATTAGGGTGAAGCTTAAAAGGGTTAGGTTGAGTATATAACTTGTATAAAATATCATAGTGCAAGAATTTGAAGTTTTCTTGATAGTTGGATGATTTTGTAAGTAAGGTAAAGATACACTTGCTAACTTTACATTTAAAATTAAGTTTTTTTAATTGTAATAAGATATTGAGCAATTAATTATATTAAACACTTGTTTATGACTTACAAGAGTTTGTTTAAGTATTTTTATAGTTCTAAGTTAGCACTTATTTTCGTTAAAACATTTATAAGAGGAAGTAATTTTAGTATTATGAAATATAAGGAGCTATATAATCCTAGGTCCCAATCCATAATTGAAGTCTAAAAATCATTTGCCTTTTTTTTATTTTCTAGTTTTAATATAATTGGCAAAATCAATTTTGTCCAACTACTTGTGTCGTGTTCAACTTAATTGAAATTGTGAAATCTTTTGACTGTATTTTCAATACAAATCATTGTGCAAATGATATTTTACTCATATTTTATTACTTGTCATAACCCATGCATTTGCAAAATTCGAGAGTGAACCAGTGAACATGTCATGGTAATTTCAAATAATTAGATAATTTCCCCCTCATTGTATCTTGATAAGGGGAAGGGATATTAATTGTGTGCTTTAACCACCATTATCATATTAATTGTCACATTATTAGAAGCAAAATTAAAAAATTGTTGTGGTTTCATATACTTTCAACACTAAATAACAATTTTTTATTGGTATATAAAAAACATAGGAAACATAGGGAGTATGTCTTTAAAGCAAACAATTGGAGGGCCAATTCTTTTTTTTTTTTCCATAGCAAAATGTTAAGTAAGTTGGGTTTTTGGGAGCTTATTAGGGCCATGACATGCTTTCAAATTCAAAAAGTTTTTACATATCAACTACCAACAAAATCCTCACATTAGTATTGAGATTTAAACCCACAACTTTATGAGTTATAGGCTAAGTGCCTAACCAACGGAGCTAACCTTGTTAGTGGTGGAGGTTCAATTTTTAATATTTGGTACCTACGAAGCAAATATAGTTAGAAGATATGTATATTCTATGCACTTGATACTCTAAGAAGGATTAGTAGGCTTTATGGTTGGCCGAGGATTTTCTTTTTCGTCTAAAAATTGAAGAAAAAAACTATTCAAATATTCTAAACCTATCAATTATAAAAGCAAATAAAAAAGTTCAGCTAGCTAGAGCAATTAAATGCTCAGAATTCAAATCATAATGAGCTAAATTATACTTTTAGTTTTCTAACTTTATATAAAATTTTAATTTATTTTTTTAATTTTGAAAATTATCTTTTTAGTTTTTTAATTTAACATTGCTAGTTTCAAATGAAATAAAATTAATATTTCAATATTTAAAAATATTTTATTGATATTTAAAATTTTAAAGTAAAAAATTAGCTTGATGAAACTAACGTGGTGTTAGGATTAAATAACTGAATATATTTTATAAAATTAAGGACCAAAATAAAATATTGTATAAAGTTACAGAATTTAATATATACTATAGCCAATCATTGTGATATAAAAATTAATAGAATTTCATATATTTGAAAATTTAGTAGCGAGACTACCTTAAAGAAAGAGTATTGGAGATTTGGAAACTAATCAAATAGGTAAAGAGGTATTAATCATATACATCATATTTATAACGAAGGTCGAAGGATCTAGAAGTTAGTTTATATGAAGAATAGAATGAGAGAAGAAAACACAAGAAAGGCTGTATTTCTTGTAAATGATTCGTGTAAACACTTAAATTATAAAAACAAAATCCTGAAATTAAAGTTAAATCAGATAAATTATTCTTCTCAATGCAAGGCCCGTGATACCGTACGCATGCTCTTCATAATAAGGTCGTCGATATATACCATTTATTAACCTTGATAACCTGATAAGTGCTTAACCCATTAACGTTTAGTTTTATGTCCTTGAATTGAATATAACTCTTAGCTCTTTTGGATCTACTACTGTGTGTAATTGGTCCGGTCCATGTGACAGGGTTCTTGTATCCTGACGAAGATTTGTTCTCTGAAACAATCAAAACCCTCTAATATTTTAGTAGGAGAATTATATATAAGTTCCAATCACAACAATTAATTACTCTTAAGTTTTGATAACTGAGCTTAAGAGAATGACGATACAAACCTAGGAATAATTAATTGTCTTGAATAAGACCTTAAAATAATTCTTCCTATTTTAATTAACATCAGAGAAAACAAAAATTTAAGAATTTATGTATCATATTTTTAGCAAAGAATATGGCCAAATGTAGGTCATCAACAAATGATGGGATATATACACTAGTCCAGATGAAATGTGTCGTCCTAATCCATTAACATTAACATCTCATTATTCCAACAATGGAAATTGATGTTATCTATATACAAATCTTTTTTTTTTTTTTGGTAGCGAATCCTCCCATGTCCAAAAGCCAATTGCTTCCACTAATTTGGATCGCGCTAGGTTGTGACACTTTCAAGCAGAAGCTGATCTACTACCAAATGTTGATGCATTTCCAAGTCTTAAACTCAAGGCTTTTAGTTAAGATGATATGACTCCCTTTCCAAGTAAACCGATCTCTTGTTATTGTTATCTTGCTAGGTTTTTCAATGTGAAACTTATTACAATGTCACCTCATCAAGAGACGATATCCCTAACAGCTCCACTCTATAACAATTTATTCAGCCTTTTGCCAGTTAAAACCGTTTGTGAATAGCCCTTTCTGTGATACCAGCCTCTTAATGAAAATATTAATATCATCAGTACAAGTCCAAAGGAAAAGCCCTTTAAACTTATAAATCCTACTTATCTTGCAAGGCTCTCTGATATGTGACTCATTATACGTGGTAATAACTTAACTGCTACTATAATTTCTTTTTTTTTTATTAGATTACACAAGCATCAAGTGGGATTGAACTAGCGAGTTAATACGACCAATGATGAGTATGATGCCATTAGGTTAGAGGACCATTAACACGATGAAGTTTAATTTAAACTTCAAATCTTTGTACATTGTTTGCTAAGCTATATTGGATTATATATTTATTTATCAAGATTGTTTATTTAGTCAAAAATATAATCTAAAAAATATAAAAGACACAGAAATTTTGAGCTAAAAAAATCTGAACTTCTCTCTTGACTTTGGACTCGTGATCAAAGATTGACGAAGATATAACATAATGACAATCCTAGAAGTTTGTTATAATGGTTATATTTCATCAAAGGTAAACAATTATTTCTCCAAATTCCATTTATTTGATCAGAGCAGATCTACAAAGTAAATAATTCAACACTAGGTACGATTGAGAGTTTTATCATCTCAATTTTACGGAAAAATATCCTGTTATATCCCCTGTGCTGAACCTTGAGATAACTGATTCCTGATGGAACTTCATATATTTGGAATTGATGCTGTTTTGATTCTAACTGTCTCCTCTGCAGAAAACTTGGTCTTCCTACAAGAAAGAGCTGTTGCTAAAGCAGCTGTAATCTGTCATATAGGAATCAAGTGCTTTGTTGTAATTTTCAGAATGAACAACACATATAAAAGGTGTGTGATTTCAAACTGTGAGTTTATTCATCATCAGTTTAAGTGACATACCCCAGTGCCGTTGCTTTGGTTGGTGGCTCACAAGATTGAGACTCTGGCTGGCTCAGCCGCAGATAGGTTGGTGCATGCAACCCTTCACAAGTCTAATTAAAAGAAAAATGACACTCCATTTAGTCTTCGAAAGAAAACTTGAAATGTTTAACTTTTTATTTTGATATGGTTATCTGATTGGGTCATGTTCAATTATTATTAGGTTTAATTGGAGGTAACTCCTTCCACTAGGATCAACCATGTGTTGGCAAACATTTAATTTAACTTTAATAAATAGTGTAGGCACAGTAAATGGTATCATCATCTTCCATCCTTTCTCTTTTGAGGGCAAGCTTGTTGATTTTATAAGCAGGTATACGCTTGTGAGACTGATAAATTATGTAATGGAAAGATGAATAGCACATGTACATGACCTAATTTGATAAAAAAAAATTTATCAACTTAATTACCTTCCGTAATTCTGCATTTTCATTACTAATGACTTCAATCCTTTTATAGAGTTCTACATTTTCTTGACTAATTGGATATCCCTGCAATATAATAGCACATCAATAAAATTAGTCAGAATTTTCGAGAACACATTTCATACAAGGCAAGATCAGAAACAGTATTCTTGAATACCTTGTGTTGCATCTCTTTAATCTCATCCTTTAAACATTGCTCCTGAGGATAATTTAATGATCAAATTAAACGCTTGTCCAGTAAAAGTGGCGAGACATGTTAAATTAAATGAAGATCTGAGTTGAATTTATCTATGAAACCTTTTTCATCCGGACGCTTCCTAAACTTATCCCAAGTTGATTTTCCAAATTTCGCAATTCATTAATGCTCAAACCAGAAAGTTGTTCACCCATCAATTTCCTGCATTTTAATTTAATTTCCAAAACAGGAAATGAGTTCTGGTTTACTAAGTAGTTCCAGTTTCTTAAATTCAGAGGATATAAAAGGAAAGAAACAATTGCTATTGAAAAGAGAGTTTATGATAGTTGAGTATGTTAGTCTATTGCACTGTTCTGTTCATTTGCATTTTTTTTTTTGATTGCATACAAATATTATGTCATGTTCTAGTAGTTACTGTTGGGCACTAACGGGGGAACATTCTCAATACATGCGATCACTTGCCTTTTCCCCCCATGTTGAGACCAAAATTTTGCCAGAAAAAAATAATAATGCTCCCCTTCCAATATCTGATTTTCTTATTTATAATAGAGTAGTGATTAAGTTTTGTTACCTGTGGCATTCTTGCAAGTGTTGCAGTTGTTGCCTCAAGACTGTTGCTTCTCTTTGCCAAAACTACCAAATGGAAAAACATATATCATCAAATATATATCTACATATATAGCTTGAACATTATGTCGGATAAAGCGTAATGCAATCATGAGGAATTAAGAAGACATGAATTCTGAGTCAAGATATAAATATGAAGATGCAAGAATATTATTTAGCAGTTTCGATGAGGTCATGTCAAGAGACATGCATGGCTCCATATATGGGAGATAGCTAGTTTCTAGTTATATAGTGTTAATATCATTAGATCATGTATATGACATGGTGCTTCACACTTAGCCAGCAGAACTAATTCACCCATTTTTCTGTGAAATAATATTATTGCTTGGTGATGAACTGAAAAGGCAATGGAAGTATGAAAATTTGATGGACTGTTGTACTAGCTAGAGTAACTATAACATGAACTATATGAAGAAAACTCAAAAATATGTTGAGGAATGGTATTTACTTTGATCTTGTACCTTGACTTCTGAAGCAGGATCTAGAAGCTGACATTGATCTGCTTGTTGTTCGTTGTAGCGGTCAATGATAGATTTCATGCTGCCGTAAGCAGAGATAACTCAATCAAAATAAGATGAAAATATATAAATGCATGTTATAGAATCTTTGTACGTATCATTGTTGTGGAAATTACAACTTGCGAGAAACAATATTTATTATAAACTTTGAAGATTAAACAATATTTATTGAACTTGACATTATTAGGGCAAGCTCCCTGAGGACATTGTTGGGATAAACTTTCACAGGCAAGGGAAGGCATTAATGCTTGGTGCATTGGATTTAATAGATCTTTCTCTTTCTCTCTCTTCTTATTTTCCCTCCATCCTCACTCCCTCCCGACCCTTTATAGGGTAACTTTTGGAAGGAATTTTTTGTTTTTAATATAAAACACTTCATAAGATATTAATTACGAGTTGTCAAATATTACACTATTTAAACACATTATTATGAGTGAGAATATAATGTAAATTTAATTTTTTTCATTTGAATAGGGTTAAAATTAAAAGTTTATTCTATTTTCAAACAAAGTTAATGATTTAACCACACTTGCTTGGTTTTAGTAAGGTGGTTGAAAGTACCTTATAATAAGGATTGAAAGGACTATATGTTTTTAACTCTTATATTTGAATGCTATTTAGAATATTTTTCATGCTATTTAGAAAGATAATTTATAATTTTTCAGTTGATTTATCATATATTAAAAGAATAACACGCATGTTTAGTTTTTGAGCTAAAATGGATTATTCTTCCTATGTTTTTTGCTTGTTTTAATAATATACTCCTTCCTATCTTTTTTGTAAGACATTTACAGGGAGAATTTAATTTTGACCCTTCAATAAGACAACAAATGAGATATTTATTACATATATCTTCCATATTACCCTTATTTAATGCATTAAGGAAAATGATACGTATCATCATCACAAAGATCATTTACTAAGACAGCTAGAGGTTGATGGATTTCAACGATAAACTGGAGAGCTTTTATAGATTTGGTCATAATATTAAGTAGTTGATGAGCGACTTTAACGCTGAATTAGGAGAAGGTTGAGGCCATGGGATGTGCTAGCTAGGGCTTCGTGGTTCAAAATATATTTCTCATCCTATTCATGTGATACTGAGTATATATCTTATTTGAATAATTGTTCATTATGCATGTTAGATAGGTTGTATTTTCTTTTGGATAGTTTCTCCTTTACTTTTTATGATAACAAGATATTATCACCACTTTTAAAAATGATATATTTTTAGCTAGTTAGAGTTAATGTTAGAGTTAAAGCTCTATAAATAAGGCTACAATCTATTTATTTACTCAAGATATTGCAAACCTGATTAGTCAAAGCACTGATTCAAAAAATAAATGATAAAAACCATAGTTGAATCATGATCCAACTAGCTATAAATAAATTATTTTATAAAGCTAGCGAAAACACCGGTTTAACAATTTATAGGTTCAACCAAGTGGGTTGACCCAAATTTACATACCATATACTCCCTCCGGTCCTATTTATAAATCATTTCTACCAACCTCATCAATACCAATACAATAAAAGTACAAGGAATAAAAGTAAGTAAAATTCCAAATATACCCCTATATAACAAATCTAAAAAGTAATGTCCTGTTACTTTTTCTCTCTCATAAAGGGTAATTTTGGAAATACCTCTCAAATATTACCTAAAAAGACGCACCGTGACTTATAAATGGAACCAAATACACCTTCTAAAATTGGACTTATAAATGGGACCGGAGAGAGTATTTACTAGACTTTGAATTGATTGAATAAACTATTCCAAACCTTTCACGCCATCTTCATTTCTCTGTCCTTCTATCTCCTTTCTCTTTCCCCTCCCCCTTTAGGTTTGTAAGTACTACTAACCCAGACCAGGTTCATATGCACTCCACAATCAGCACATGACACATCCTTATCATAATTTAATATAGACCTTTATCATGGTATATATAGTTATACATTTGTATGTATGTATGCATGCAAGCATGTGAACGCCTGCATAAAAGCGTTTTAACGTGTTCTTCAGAGTTTGGAGCATGCCTACGAAATTTGCTATGTAAAAGTACTTTTAACCAAAAAAGTTGACTTCTTTTATTTATAATGTTACATATACACTATTTCATGCACAGCTTTTTTATATATCAATAAACCTATATACAAGTATATATAATAAGATGAGAAAAAATAGCCAAACAGATATACAAATCCAAAGCATCAATTATCAAGCTTGCATTTACTCTCCCCCCCCCCCCCAAAACACACACACAAACAAGAAAGAAAACATGTTAATTTCTTCTAGGACGTCCAACGACAACACAGGATTGTTGCTAAAATTGGAACATAACCGCATAGTATCAGATAGAATATCATCACATTTTATCTTGGGAGGAAAAAAACCCAGAAAAGATTATGTAAAGGCATATTACTGAGATGAAAGGAGAGATCAGAAGAACAGTTTGAAAATTATATAGATACTATAATAGTTTCTGATAAAGCAACGAAAAGAGGAAACATAATTAAGCTGGGAATTGAACTTAATAATAAGGAACCTGGAGCTTCCATATTCATAGAGCTTGCCAGAGCTAGAGAAGACGATAACACCAACTTGTGCATCGCAGAGGATCGAAAGCTCCCTCGCTTTCTTGAGCAATCCACTTCTTCTCTTTGAGAAAGTCACTTGCCTGTTTGTTGAATCGTTGATCCTCTTAATCGCAATCTTTGCTCTCCCCATCTCTCTAGGGCTTCTCAGATCAGCAGCCACACATAAATCAGTAACAAAGCTGAAACTCATCAAATGAACTCTTAAACAAAACACATACATATAACTAAAAGATCAATAAAATAAAAACAAAAAATTGTAATAAATAGTTCATATATATGCTTGATAAGCATCAATAAAATAAAAACAAAAAATTGTAATAAATAGTTCATATATATGCTTGATAAGCTGGAACTTACAGAGCAACTGTAGAAGAAGACAGGTATATTTGGGCGCAGGTCCTGACTAGAGAGGCTTTGGAGGATTGATGTGCTTTGAATACTTTATTCAGATTCTTGTCAAGCCGTTTTGATCCGTCTGACTCGATTTTTGGGGTCATAAAGCAGGTTTTTTGGGCAGTGGAAAAACCGATAGTGGTTTTCTGGCCGAGATGTTGACCTAAACTCTCGAGGGTTACGTAGGTTGATCGTAGACTGATGGCGAGGGACAGGTGCCTGTCAGGGAGAGCGAGTGTTCGTCGCTTGAAGTGCCAGCGAGTGGACAAGTGAGTCCTCGGGATTCTCGAATGGTGGGGCCTGAGAAGTGACGCAGGGTTGGCATTATCTGACGTATGGCGTGGCGACACGTGGGATGATCAAAACTGAGAGCCCTCACACATTTCGAGTAATGGACTGGCCGTCGGCCATGAGCAGCGAATGGTGACGTCATTCTTGCATTTTTACCAGCGTTATCCCATCCCGTCTTGCCTAGGTGATTGATCAGGGAAAATAATAGACTCAAATAAAAAATTAATAATTTAATTTCATGAACTGTGATAATAACAGTAATATTTTAAGAGATTATTTTGAAATTAAATTTATAGATGAAATTAATTCATTATCCCTCTAAAATTTAAAAAAAATTGTAATTTTTTAAATAATTTTAGTCATTGGTAGAATCAAATTTGTGAATACTTATATTAAACTTATAAACGCTAAAAAATTAGTTGGACTTTGTTGATAAAAAGTTGTGATCTTTTTAAATTATTTTAGTTATTGGTGGAACAAACTTACAAATACTTATACTGAACTTGTGAACTGTATAAAATTAGTTGGACTTTAATTTGCTGATTAAAGAAAATTTTTGATAGAAAATTGTGATTTTCTAAATTATTTTAGTCATTGTTGGAACTAAATTTATAGATACTTATATCAAACTTGTAAATTATATAAAGTTAGTTGACTTTGTTGATTAAAAAAAATTACTATAAGAAATTATAATTTCCTAAATTATTTTAGTCATTGGTGGCACCCAACTTAAAAAAACTTATACCAAACTTGTGAATTATAAATAATTAGTTGCAAAGGGGTACTAAAGTAATTTCACACAGAAATTTAATCTCAAAGAAATATCTCAAGACCTCATTGTTGTTATCACATATCGGAAGACCAAATTGTCATTTTTTTCATTCGAGAGAGATTTATTTGTCATGCTTCCTCATGTTTAAGTCATTTCTAACTATTTAATGAAAATCAAAGATACACACTCTCTCTAATCCTACTAATTATAAGTTACTTCTAGTATATTTAACCGGAGTCAAGAAAAAATTTAATAAATTTTAACCTCCATCCTCTAGTAAAGATAAAAAAAAACTATTTTTAATAATTTTTTTAGCATTTTATAAGGGTAGAAAAGTAAATATGAATATATAAAATAATGAAGTACTTTATAAATAAGACCAAAATTAATCTTCTCTCTTTGCCAAATAAATAAGACTAGAATAATTAAATTATTAATGTTGTTTTAAAAAAATTCTAATCCATCCTTGTTAAATGCATGTCATCAAAAATACTTTGTATTTTATATGTAACCTTTTATCTTACTCATGGAAAATTATACAAAGGTAAAATTAAAAGAAAATAAGTAAAGATTAATATTTTTTCATGAAAAGTGACTTAGAAACAGAATTGCTACTTTCTTCTAAAAAATATTTATATATAGGATTGGAAGAAATACTTCCATTTTAAATTAAACTCCCTACCAATTTATGGAGGAGTAAATGGTCTGATTCTGATTGTTCTTTTCTCTGTGATTGGTGTAAAGCTGACATAAGCATCAACCATTTTTCTTCAATGCTTCCCTTGCTGAGTGGGTTAGCATGAATCTGAAAAAAGATTGGTAGTTAATTTGAGCAATGACAGTTTGGAAACTATGGCAATGGAGAAATGAGTACATTTTCAAAATAAAAAGCATATTTTTAAAAGCATAATATTTGATCCAAAATCTAAGTTATTATTACTCGCTCCGGTCATTTTTAAGAAGAGAGAAATAATTAATTCTCAAAGATAAAAATGTAAAGTTAAAATGGTTGGATTTAGTGCCTGATTGTATTTCGAATAAAATTATTTTTAATAGGATGTTACCTAACTATGAGCAATTGAAATAATTGGATTTAATAAATGTCACCAAAATAATTTTTTCTAAAATATCCTGATTTAATAATTGATCAGGACCTATAGATTTTAATAATTAATAAATACTGCATTTTTTTGGGTAAAAAATACTACACTTTTTTTTAATAATAAATGCTTCATAGCAAAGGTTTTTATTTTTTTTATACTCCTTTGGTTTCATTTATAGGGTAGAGAGAGAATATTAGTTTTTATCCTATTTATAAGGCAGTAAGGAACCCTTATGATTGTTGTATTTATCTTTATCCTTTTATCTTTATTGAATGCAGGTAAAGTTATTAAATGTTGGAGTATTTTATTTTTATTAAAGTATTTATATCTAATATGAATAAAGTTGGAAGCTTGTTGAATTTTTAGATATAATTAATGAGATTTAAGATTTTTTTATTCTAATAAAATATATTGGAAGTGGCTTATAAATAAGATTGGAAGGAAAAAATAGGACAATGATAACCTTGCCACGTTAACTTTTCAATCATACGCTTTTTGTTTAATGTGAGTCCATAATATGTTCTTGGAAGTTAATCATACATTTGATATAGTTAATTAGAATAAAATTGTAAAACAAAGCTAATTAACTTTTTTAGGTATATCCATATTTCTCAATATTTAAAGTGTGTTTGCAGTTTTGTATATTGAGAATCACAAAAACCATGAAATATTTTACTGGTTGTAATTTTTTTTAACTTAGGATATTGGCTTGTAACTTGAAAAATAATTTCAAATCTGAACCCAAATAAAAAGGTTTTTAATTTAATTTATTAGCAATTCATGGATAGATCTGCGGAGAAGTCAGGCTGAAAAAAACATACAATGTCTGGATTTTTATAGAAATTATTTGTGAATTAAATTTAAAAAACCTTGTTTTGTTATAAATTTTGAACGTAATCTAAAATATTACTTTTCTGGAAACATATAAAAAGAGATAAGTGACCAAAATTATAATGCTCACATGATCATTTTTATTTTTCCCCCCAAGTTCGGAATCTTTCTGAGTGGCGGAGCTACCTTACATGAGAGGGGGCCTTATGCGGTGACAGTTGGCAGTAGTCAAAATTCAATAGTATAGTTGAATTTGCACCAACTCAAATAAACTCAAAAAATTTTAAGATCGAGATTCAAAGTTTAGAAGAGCTTATGCACTGGGGTCACTCATATGAACTTGAAGAAAAGATCAAACAAGAACTCAAATAGGTTTAACTTCAATGCCCAATTTTTTAAAATTATTAATAAAATAAAATTAAAATAATATAAAAATGAAAATCTTATTTTTTTCAAAATAAAATTGAAATTGGCTAAAAATAAAATAAAATTTAATAATTTGAGTATTCGAATCAACTTGAAAGCTTGAGATGTTAGGATCAAACTTGATTATATGAACTTTTTATATAACCAGGTATTTTAAACCCACCCCAAATCAACCAACGCCCAACCCCACTTATTTTCTTAAACTTTTTTTTTTCATAACATTTCTAAACTTATTTATATTCTAGGGATTTTAAAGTTTAGTGCATTTTGTGTACTCGATAACATGAAAATTCAGAGTATTTGATTAGCATTATTGAGCAAGGGAGGAAACAAAGCTCCAGGTTGGAAGGGGCCAATTTTACATGACTAAACATGTTAATTTATTTTTTATTTTAAACATCTATTATTAATATATCTTTAAAATAATTTTGGGGATAATAAAACTTATAATTTTTTAAATTTATTTTAATTATCAATTTGATCTTTGAAGTTCAAACTCTATCAATCACATAGTTAAAATTTTATAACCACACAAAATTAGTCATAATATTCTAAAGGGGAAAAAGATAAAGGATCAAAGACTTTATTATATCATATTGGGGTGACATGTGTAAGTATTATTTCATTTTTATTTGTAAAAGAAATTATCACTTTTTATATTTTTTTTATATAAGTAAAATTACATATTTCAATAAGTGTTTATTACATATTTCTTAAATCACCTCTCATAATTTACATTAATGAAGAATAATTAATGCATACTTATATTGATTAACATAGGATATTTTAATTTAATTTTTTTATTTTCAGACATAATTATTATTGTTAATAAATTTTTTTAAATTGTATGATATAATTTTTTTTAACATACATAGAAACGGAGGGAGTAGAAGAGAAAGAAAAAAAATTGAGAAAGAAATGCACAGTTAAGAGAGACTGGTCACAGGGGGCAAAATCAAAAGTGGAAAAATGAGGCAGGCGGGTTGAGACAGTAGTTTTACTCTTTGATCTAATCCCTCAAGTCGCAAGTTTCAAGCCTCATCTCACTGTGTTAAATGGGGCCCCCCTTGAATGTGAGAATCTTTTTCCCCAAATTTTTATTCTTAAGATGTTTTGAAAGTTGAGTATGGCTCTCTTCTCAATTTATTTTAAACAAACTCTCAATTCTTTATTCTCAAGTTGTATATATTTAATAAATTTTTTTGTTGGCAAAAATATATTTAATAAATTTGCTGCGTTAAGTTCAGAGCACTATAGTCATTCCCGAATCCCGATCCATATGAAGTGATAACTGATAAGTGACGGAAGAAACAGTATCTACGATAAAATTGATATTCTTTCGTGATAAGCTTTCGATCATGACACAAACAATGCCTCGCCCCAAAACGAAATAATTAAAGATTGATCCATCACGAAATGATCCTTGTAAGTGGAAAAGAACTGCTGTCCCTAGTTGTTCGAATGTGTAGACTTGTTATTTTTTCACATCTTTGTACTTCATCTAAAATATAGAGCATTAATGTAATTTTATAATTTTTTAATTCTACATTTATTTTCTTCAATACTTTTTTTTGAAAAACTTGCATTGGAATTTGAATTGTTATTTCACTCATATATGATA